AACAATAAAAGTCGATATAGATGTGCAAATACCAATAAAGTTTGATAATTCAGGTTTTATAATTCACAATGAGAGTTAATAAATATAATACTTAATTGCGTAATGCTTAACACTAAAGGTACTGACACTTTGTATATACCTATACCTACTGAAACTAGTCAAATAATTAGTTATAAAATAAAGGTAAACAAGTTAAACAATAAATATTTCTTATTGGAGACAGAAACGGAAGGAAAGTAAAAAATTGAAAACTTTAATAATGATTAATCGGGTAATATGGGAATTGATTTAATGTTAAACGAACGAAGAAAAACGGAGATTTCGAAATGAAATTTTAAAACTACAGTTACTGAATTAGAGTTGATGCTTTTAATGTTTGAGAAGTTATAGTCATTTGAGACTTTCAGAAATAAGCCTAGAAAACAGAAAATGTAGATGTGAAGCAGCGTTGAATATGAAGAATGAGGTTATCCGGTAGTCCCTTTCGAGTATATGCATGCTGCCTTGAATAGAAAGCGTGAAGCATGTCCGTGTTAAATTAGGCATCATTGCACCTTTGCCATGTTTAATTTTTTTTATCTATTTTTAAAGTTGAATCAAGCACACGAGGCTCATTAGCAACTACAAGGTTTGTACATGGTATTTATCATTTTTAAATAAGGTTAATTAAATTTGTGTGTGTCAAAAGCTTGATTAGGTTGTTGCAAAAGTCCTCAAAACTTGTAGCATCTTTGATGTACCCTTAGATTTTGAATCTTCTTCTTTCTTGTTGATATCTTTGGCAGGATATAATAACGTGTTCTATTGGTACCTTTTTCTTGTTTCACGTAGTCGACAAGAAATCTCATTTTACTCTCAAATTCAGTTTTACTTCATTTTTCTTACCTTAAATAATTATCTATTCTGCGAGAACACTTAGAGAATCACATCCCATTACTTAAAATCCTATTTATATGAAATATATAGAGTGTATACACCTTACTAGACAGCGTGAGGGGGATAATAAAAGAATAGTACCTTGCAAGTTCAAATGTTATTGAATCTAAGTAAAACTGAACCCAACGTACTTAGACCAATACTCAATACACCACGATATAAAAGATGATATACCTATTAAGTAATTCGATAGTTTTAACTACCTGCCGGCAATATGAGTATTTATGATCCTGTCGAAAATTACATTGTTTAACACTAGAACTACCAGAGAGGTCAAAATGATCCATTATTAGTTGCTTGTTTAATAATTATTACAAACATAATAGATAATTCTCTGAGAAATTACTAGAGAAATTGATTCAACAATAGGCAAACTGAATTGTAAATCAATAGAAATCTCAATAGTAGCAATGTTGGAGTTTCCACAGAAAAATTTCAAAAAGTTAATTTGAATGTTCGGTAGTTCTAATATTAAAGCCTCAAAATAATTATACTTTTTTAAGTACTGGCAAATCTCTACACACTTTTCAAACGATCATAGTCTTACGAGCAAACCCCTACAATATCTTTGTTTAATATTCGTTTATTACAAAATTATACGCACTCGCGTATATAGAATTCAACGCTAGGTTTACGGACATTTATTGCACTTTATTCTATTGGTTTTAGAAAAATTGATATTCATTCATTTATATCTTGGAAATTAAAAGTTTAAAGATAGACAATTAAAATACATATTTGTGTTATCGTATCAATTAAAATCGACGTAAACATTTACTAAGTAATATTTATAAAATTCAATAGGCCTCAAATTGGCGTGTACTAGCACAAGTTTGTCGCGATTATCTCGGTAACTAAAGCCTTCCGTACGCAACGTGTAAAGGAAGAAGTTGTTCAAAATCATGTCCTCAACAACATATTTCAAAATGATCAAAATCGGTGCGGGTGCAGTGCATCGACAGTTTTACTATTCAAACAGTGCGGAATCTTGATATAAATAATAAGAATTCGATACTAAGGGAATTTTAAGTCTTTTGGTGCCAGCACGCCGATCTATAGGCTCTAGGTGTTTACGCGGAAATTGGCACGGGCGGATGTATCGGTCTCGTTTGTTTACGTTCAGAATATCGATCCCCGCATTCTTCGCATCTACTGCGTAGGTGGGCTTGACACTAAAAGGGTTATATGGTTGTGCACGTAAACCAACATTACCGAATGGTCCAGCTTCTGCTATCACTTCCATTTGCAAAGCCTAAGTGGTGAAAAACTTTTGGAAATATGATTTGATGTTCTCATTAAAAATTAAGCATAGCTAAAATAGTCCTACTGGCCACTCTTTTAGTTGCAAGATGAGTATATTGATTACAACAGTCGATGATCCAAGCAAAAATTGGAACATGAAGTAGCTAAAAGAATAAATTTAAAAAACTACTGGTGATAAATATTTAAAATGTCCGAATAATTGTATGGAAATTAAAAACCGTACATCTATAATTAATAAAAGAGACAAAAAGACAATAAGATTTACAATAAACTGTAAACAATATATGAGCTTAAAATGGCAAAGTCTTTTCAAAGTTCCTTTATATTTAGGTTCTTATAATTGCCAATAGTACCGGAAAGATATCCCCTAAAAATATAAAACTGGATATTCCAGAAACATTCAATGAGGCTCATTTATAATATGTATTGTGATGGCACTTCGTGACTGATCACGAAATAGTTTTATTGCTTAGGATATTGATGTTTACCCATCGAAAACTCCATTAATCCTTAACACTAAAATTACCGGACGGGTCAAAATAACCTATTCCTGATGTCTCCGTTTTGCGATTACTAAAAACATAACAGATGTTTCTCTGAGAAATTATTAAAGAACTTGATTGAGCAATACGCAAACTGAACTGTAAATCAATTGAAATTTCAATAAATACACTTTTAATGTTTCTGTAGAGAAATTTCGAGAAGTCAATTTAACTGCTCGGTAATTTTAGTGTTAAGTAGGCGGGTGGGGCGTTTATGACACCTCACGCATGCATTTTTAAATATAATGGGCCTTTATCCTTTGCACTCGATTTATTTTCAATGTTGTTGGGTGTAAACTTGCATTTATTTTTAGAGAAATAAATTGAAGTAATTTACACCGGTAGAATTTAACGTTTCATATTTATTTTATCTATTATTACTATTATAAGGTTGAATTTTTATAAATTTTTAAAATGTGGTACTTTTTCTAACAATTTCCAACGTTCTATAACAAATTTATATTGTCATCTCGAACATGACATACGAGTGCAAAGGGTTAACACTAACCGTCCCGCAATTTCCCAGCGTTTTCTTAGCGTTTCAGTTTTGTCGCTGGACATCAAAGGTGTTTCTATGATCTTACATGTATTCGGAGAACTATAAACCGAATATTTCACTGAAGGTTACCTTCTAAAGTAAACATTAACAATCCACTAGCAGGAGAAACAAATTTCTTCGTACAATACTAATATGTACGATTTTATGGGGAGTCTTATAGTTTTATCGCGGAGTGTACTAACCTAATTATAAACACATAGTAACTCCACACTGTGTGAGAAAAAATACTGCGAATTTCTTTGTACATAAATCCAGAAGTTTGCTTTATCTGTCTACTTTTACTCTTAAAATGCTGTTAAGAATGACTTTTTTACGACTTTTCTTAGGGGGGCCATATTACTGTTACTTTTGTAAAAAGTCCAAAAACGACTTACTGTCATAATACATATTAACTTCGATTCAATTAATTTCCTTCACTTACACCTTTGTTATTTTTGTCACGAAGTAACTTTATTAATTTATATACATTTCACGCAGAAATTTGAAGCAATTGAAGTTGCGAGTCAAATTTTAGGACATGTACCAACTGGGGTGCCGACTTACCAGCTTTTCCTCTAATTATTAACAAATCCCTGTTTGATCAACTGCTGTTTGAAGTTTGACTATTCTCAAATGGAAAAGAAACGAAAAATCGGTATATATCTTAAGAACTACATAATAGTCTTGCGTCAGATAGGGGCCGTTAAACTTAACATCGCGACGTAACGAACTGCTAAAGATCCGGTGCGCCCCATTTCTAGTAAGTGAGTTGCGCACTCCGCAACTACGGTCGGTTGCATGCAGGTGATGAGTACAAGTGTACCGAGATGTCCTCGAAGTCACGTCGTTAAGCGGATGCAGAAGTCATCTGCGGGAAACTTGATACGATATCTGTGGTAAAGTTTCGGCGCGAAACTCATGTGGTATAATGATGCAAAGAGTTTGCGGATATGAAAATTTTATGTAGATAACATCACTCGGTCTAGAGGAATTATGGGCTACAGATTATCATCCACTGAAAAGATAATAAGACCTGAGCACAGGTGTTCATTGCAAGATTGTCTTAGGACGGTTAGCCAGACTTGCTATTGGCAAGGATCCTAAGGCAGAATAAACTTCAGAATATATTTTCAACCGGTATCTTATTTCACGTCTACACCGTAATATCAGCTAACACGTGGATTAATAAATAATCCGTAGTTTAATATTAATCTTACATGCATATCACACTGTGAATCCCAATCCAAAATGCAAACAAGAAAGGAATTTTTAGCGAAACGTGGGCCGATCGAAAACGGACCGATAATGTGTATTAGGCTTAAAATGTTATGTATCATATTCTAGGAATATTTTATACTAGTGGGATATAGTAACATTTTGAACATGTAACAACATATTTGTAAATCAACTTGTTTCTGCTTTGTTCCATCGTTTTTTGATGAAACATATTTTATATAATATTTCTCATTTTTGTTTGTAGCTAATTTCTTATCTTCCTAATACGTGTAATATAATGTTTGCGGGACTACAGAAGACCTATTGAAACTTTGGCAATCGATTGTAAGATGCAAAGTATTATCTTGTTATCGATTATTAAATGCTGTAAACATGAAATTGACAGGTTTAAACGTATAGTAGCCTGCATGGAAGGTACGCGCGTATGAAATATAATATATGAATGGAAAGTAGCGCATAAAACAGATTTTATGTTTGTAACATACCTTTTTAGATGCGTGCTTATGATAATGGTGAGGGTGCAGCATACAAACGTAACGATCAATTGCCATGCAGACAAGAATAACAGCACTTTGTTGAGTTAAGGCTCCTCTAAGGAGTGCCTGAAACAATACAATTTTCAAACCCTTAAACAAAATTCTTCTATTTTTCGGTGTGACTCTATTAAGATAAAACGTAAAATCAATCGAATGTGTATATAAAATTAATCTAATAATATTTTAACATGATAACTCAGCTTGTATAACTCAGGAGATGAGTACTGTTTTTATCAAATACAGTGTAAAGTTCATAATATGATACAACTATTAGAAACGCTGACACTTTATCGTAGTCATAATAAATAATTAAAAAAATTTTACTCTTTCGGCAGCTCAATTCCCTCAACTTTGTAAACAGTTAAAATGGTTGAGACAATTACACAATGAACAAGTTCATATTTTACAACCCTCTTCTTCTCGTGCATTACTAAATAGAATGACTCGTGTTGGAAATCCACCAACAGAGAATTGCGACGATCTAATTGTAAGTAATAAAAGAGAAATTAATTTACATTACATTCGAAGATATACAGCTAACGTAGAAAATATTTGTGCAGCTATTAATTTCAATAAGAACGTTGTATAATACAACTTTTTATTTTATCTTATCATTTTATGTGAAAGGAATATTGTTTATATTAAAATTAACGCGAAAATGTAGGTTCTACACCCATAAGTCAACTGTGCATGATGAATCGTTTCCTAGTGTTGACTTCCCTTCATAGGAAGCGTCTATATAGCTCGTAAGGAAGCTTTCTCGCCCTATTCTTCCTTCTTCCGGCAAACGTGGTAGGGTGTAAACCTATGCATTCATTGTCAGCGTTAATTATATTCGTATATTCATGGGTAATTGTACGCCTGTTTATTCATAGTTCACCGTGCAACAGGTGGCGACCATTGCGTCGAATGAATTTAGTAACAACAATGTTGCTAAACTTTATATCCAACGAGTAAAAAATATGTAGTATCTAGAATTTTAGCGTAGATTAGGATATTTTTAAGAAGCTTGAATGCGAGTATGAGTATGAGTATGAGCAAGAGAGAAGCTGTAACTGTCAAAGGAAACGCCCGCACAACGTCACAGACCCAAGGTAGGTACCCACTTCAACTTTGAAGGGATATATTCAAGAATTTGCTAATACAATGTTGACTGACAGTTGTACACAGAAACTACCCCATGTCCTAAATTTTAACGCTGTAATTTATAAGATATGCTGGAAAGAAAACCGACATCGATAGAAAATCAAATAGGAATGAAAAGGATATATTAGGACTCGTGCTCAAAGATACTTGTAGGCCGATGCAAACAACTTCTGTAAGGGAAGCAGAATATTTTATGGCGGACAGAAAACGCGTGAAATTTTCTTAGGTACTATGAATTTTTTCTCAGCGAGTGTCTCACCACAGACATTTTAACCTCTTTGCAGTCACAGATGAGTCATCTCGGAACACATTACCTTTCGTATAACACCATACATGAATTATCCCCCGCACAATACCGTTCGTACGATGCCACAGATAGGATATCTCGCGCAGTTCTTTATTGGATAAAGATAAAGTTTTAACTCAAAGGATTTTCTATAGAATAATAAACGAGGGCATGCAATTTTCAATAACAACACAATTTAATTGATAATCGGAATATTACGAACGACACTTTGTCGCTGAGTAACTCGTCTGTGACGTTATATACACGATATTGCGTTGAGAGATAATTAAATGGCTCACTCGCAGAATCCATTAACTCCATAAAACAAAAAGTGGAAAAAATGATAAAATAATACATTATGTTTTCTAAAATTCCTTTTATATTATAAATTCAAATAAACATCGTAAAATATATTACTACAGATGTATGTTTCATTTAACGACATATAAAATGTATAAAATAAAATATCCTTGGAGTAATCGTTATTATTACATCTTCACTTTTTTATATTGCAGAAAAGATTTATTATATACATTTTTCTCGAAGATTTTTTCCCTTTTTTAAAAACTAAACTACACTGAAATTAAAATAATTGTTTAAAAATTCACGAGTAACTGTTTCAGTGGCAATTTGCCTGTAACAGATTAAATATTTTTTATATTTTATTTGTTTTTGTGATGATACAACAACAATGAACAATTTACTGTTATCATTTTGTATTATATTATTGTATTAAAAAATTCTTAAATAATTTTTATTACGTATTAATAAAATCAGGAAATATTTAAATTAGAGTATGGAATTATTTAGATGGACTTCAGAAATAAATAATTTAATATTCAATGGCCAAATAAATTTTGTCATTTGGTGGTATTAATCCTTATTAATAGAGTTTGTTTAAAATATAAACAGTTAGAAATAAATCAAATGCTTTGACAGTAATATTTAAAAAAAATTCAAAAGATAGAGTTAACATATTTGGCAAGTGAACTATTCAATTCGTCATGGTAATGAAGATATTAACATTTTACCTACTCGAATCCAAATAATCGGATTTTCAATGTCAATGCTTATTGATTGGAATTTTTTTTATTGCTTGGAATATTCTCAATTAATCAGCAATTCGAGGATTACATAAGGGCATAAAGAAGGACTTAGAAGGAAATTTCCTAAACTAAAACACAGTAAATTCAAGTAGTAGAAACATGTACCTGCTGCTACATGTCGTGTTATGCAACAACTGTGTTCTTCAAGTATCTGTAACGTCGTTGTTTCTAACATTAAAACTACCGGACGGATCACATTGACACACTTTTGTAAGCATTTAAATTATGAAAGCGTTCTTGCGAAAGATTATAAATTAAATTTGTGTACCTGTACAGATACAGAACCCAATTTCAAGAAAAGCATTGTTCCAATTTTTATAAAAAATAGGTAGTTTTATTGTTAAGAATCCTGACGTATCCTTCGTCATAGATGTTTTAAAGATATAAATTTTAAGAAAATGTAAAAAGTCGATTTTGTAAAGATTCCAAATCGAAGTATCTCCTTAATAACACATCGATGGCCGGAAATTTTACGCAAAAACCACCCCATATCACCGGTTATTATTTCGTAATCCAATACAAAAGTGAAACGATCTAAACTTCAATATACTTTATTTATACATAATGAATTAAAATGAACCTTTGGACATATCTTTTAGATAACTTCGAATATTTTGCTTTTGCAATATTTTATATTGCCCTACGTTTCAAACATTGAAGTAGCTAATGCAAGTGCAAACACGAGTTAACTTATGACCGGACAACAATGTATTAAATGACGTTGAACAGACGCAATCATCTGCGAGCGTAGACCTCGGTGATGAGTTCTACATATCTCAAAGATGGGACTTTCCTTACATTTGGGACGTGTGACAAACTGTAACCACGGCACGCACCCATTTTGAGGACAGTTTTCCTTCAGCTAACGAATCGTATTGGTATTTTCGCATTGATATTTTCTTATTTTTGTAAATAAACTCGTTATCATTATATAAACAATTATAGGTGAATATATAGATAAAAGTCGATGGATTGAAGTAAAAATTTTAAAGTAGATATGTTTAATGCGTTCAGAGAAAGAAAGCAAGTGTGCAAAGGTTATAGGATACACGATGAAGAAATTGAGAACTGTTAACGCAAGAGAATAATTACCTGGTGAATTGGATGGATGATCAGTGGACTGTCCGCGGAATATAGTGCACAGTGAAACGAAATTGCGGAAAGAGCGAATCGGAGCTTATTGTTAGTGGAAATGGCTAGATGCGTGCTACTCGAGATTAATCTTGCTAAAAGCATATGGGTAGAAGCATCCATATTATCCTATATATCACGAACCACTGTCCAACGAAACATTTAGTTGATTTAACGCCCTATGAAATGTAGACAGGTGAGAAATCACACTTCTGCCTCATGAGAACCTTAGGGGTCTGTGTCGCAGCATAGAAGTGGAAATATAGAAATAACAAATTTCATCTAGAAGACGAGAAATATATTTTGATTAATTACTTTCAAGAAGCAAAAGGTTGGATCGTGGGGAAATATGGTATATCATTCATTAAGCACAGAGGCATGCGATTTTTGAGGAAACATTGACAAAATCCAGAACAACACTTGAAACCTGCAGAATGCATAAAACAAGATGTAAGAATAAATATAATAAAGTAAATAATCTAATAAATATAAAGAAACGAAGCGACCAAGAAAGAGAGGGACGAAGGGGAATCGGTTCACATAGAAGAATTACAAAAAGAAAGTGAATCGCAAACTGGAGAAACCAATTTCTCAAGACAGAGGATCAAGGGAAGTATTTTCTCGAAGAACAAATGCAACTGAGGACAACGAACTCATATCACCAAACACTATGAGCGAAGCGTTGAGAAGTTCAGAAAAATATTGTAAGATAGTCCGAGTGAAGGGAAAATCGAGCGCTGGTAGTCCGCGTTTCGTCAACCGGTGAATCTCTTAACACTAGAAATACCGGACGGATCAAAATGACCGATTTCAAGATTCTTATTTCGTCATTATTAAAATGACAAAGGTGCTTTCCTGAGATAAGTTCCTGCATTTGTGCAAATGCAGCAATAGGAAGCTCTTCGAATCTCAAGGAATTTGTTTTTCTAATTTTTGCAGCAAATTATAAACAGCTTAATCTTATTGCTCGGTAGTTCTAGTGTTAAGGGAAAGCGTCCCCGAGTCTCGGGCGCAATAAACAGAGCGAGAGGTACACTGATAGAAGAGGTCCTCTGGCTAAACAGTGCCCTTCTCAGAGTATTCTTCCTGTAACTTCCAAGCGAGGAACATCAAATTCAAAGAAGTAATATTCAACCCAAGTTCGTACCATTCCATTATTCAGCCCATAACATCTTGTCTTACAATATTTCTGTCTAAAAGCAATGTAGACCGAGAACAATTCTTTTATGGTAAATCACACATAGAACCTAGTGTTTACAACAAAAGATAAACCAGTATTATTAAATAAACGGGTTACCAGAGCGAGAAAAAATCAAAGCGGCTCCATGGAAAGATTTAAAGCCAGACTGATAGCACGAAGAGATTTGCAGAAAAGGAGAGTACAGTGTTCTCTCGAA